TAAATGTTTTAATTATTTTTCTCAATAGATTCCGCAAACGATGCAATTATACAATACTGTAGTAATAATAATAATAAAATAACTTTTTATATTTATTATATAGCATAACATACCTGTAATAATATTTTTTACTGAATAATAATATTATTTTTATTTTTTTTTCTAAATACTGTGTTAATAATAATAATAATAAAATTAAATTATTTATAGTTATTTTTTTCGTTCAATTAATTATGCATTAAACTGTAAATACTTTACAATATTTTTATTTAAATAATAATATCATTATTGAGATAATACATTAAACACATTATATACTACTAATACTACTACTAAATAATTTAATAGAGAAATACAAAAAAAATTAAATTAAAGTTTTAAAAGTTAATAAATGTATTCATAGTTGTTTTTTATATATATTAATATATAATAGTTAACATAACTATAATAATAATAATAATAATAATAATAATAATAATAATAATAATAATAATAATAATAATAACTGGCTGTCAATTTTCATTGAGAATATTTATGATATAAATACTAAACATTTTTTTTAATATAAATTATATAAGATATTTCAAATTAAAAATGACATTTATCATATTAAATATTAATAAAAAATATATTATATTTGAATTTAGACTACTAGTGTTTATTTATAAACATGTCCCATGATAATTTCAATGTTATTTATAATATGCATTTATTACTGTAGTGTATCAGTATATATCATATTAAGAAACCATAATTTAAATTTATTTATATATTGATATGCTTTATATATATATATATATATGATTAGTAATTAAATCAATAATAAACTAGATATATATATATATATATATATCCACAAAAAATATGTCGTGTTTAACCCAGTTAGTTTTTTAATGAAAAATATTAATACAATTTTAATAAAATTAAATTTAAAAATAAACAAGCACACAAAAAATCTACTAAGTTGACTTAAATTAAATTTTAATATATATATATATATATATATATATTAATATATACAGTATTTGAAAATATCAAATGTTATAAAACAATTTTTTTATATAATATATCAAATTGTATTTTATGTATTTTTAATTAGATATTTTTGTATATATTATATGTCAAATTAATTATAAATGCAAGATTAATACAACATTAAATATTACATGCTAAATACATTAATTAAATTAACACAACAACAACAACAACAAAATCAATGTAAAAATCAATATTACTACTACTACTACTACTACTATTATTATAATATATATATTAAAATATATTTAAAAAATTATTTCTGCTTTAAAACACAAAAATTTAATATATATTATAATAATTTTTACTTAATATTAATTCTTTGATGTTATTTTATATATATATATATCATAATAAAGTAAAGTAAAATATTATAATATCATATTTGTTTATTTATACTGTATGTACTGTACAATCAGTTCAATGTTCAAACACACACACACTCACACACACACACACACACACACACACACACACACACATAATATATACATATATATATATATATATATATAACACTTTCTATTATATTATTTATTTACACTATATATTCAATATATATAAAAATATCATACAGTATGGTATACAGGTATATCAATAGTGCATCATTTAATACCTATTATTATTACTACTACTACTAGTGGACAGTTAGCTTTTTTGTAAGCTATGGGCGCGTCGCTATTGGCAACATTATTGCATAACTACATCAATATTTGTACAAAATCTTTGTCGTGTAAATAAATACTTGTTTTGTTATATTCATTATATATATATTTTTTTTTTGTTATTATTATCATATTTTTTGTTGTTATAATAATGAATCCAATAAACAAACAAAAACTTAATGGAAAATAATAATAATAATAATATAAAAATGTTTTTTTTAATTTACACTTCAATTTTATACTACAGTTTTACACTACAGTTTTAATTCAAATGTGTTAAAAATTTTCATTTTTACATAAAAAAAATTAACAATATTTTTGTTTGTACTAAAAGTGGTGTTTATATAATGTTAAAATAAAAAATTTATCGAAAATTTATTATTGTTTATATTAAAACTTATTGATTGTATATTTATTATATACTGTATATTATCTCTATTGAATTACAGTATAATATAAATTATCTAAATTTTGTAGTAATTATGTTTAAAATGAAAAATAAATATAATTTCTGACAATTTCTAAGTTAGTGTTATTTTTTGTTATCTATTAATACATTACTCTATTGGATAATAATAATAATAATAACAGAATATTCTGTATGTATTATTTCATTTATATATTTATATATATTATAAAATATATATATATTGTGTTGTTACAAACATCAATATTTTTTTTGCATAAATATTAAACATTACAAACAATATTAAAATTTTTATGTTTATATCATTTAAGAAAATAGTCTCTCTCTCTCTCTTTCTTTTTCTCTCTCTCTCTCTTTCTCTTTCTTTCTTTCTCTCAGTATTGTCATTATCCCTAACTTTCATAAAATACTGTATATATATATTGATAAATACATTGTAAATACTTATATCTTTCATCTAAATGGTTGTGTTGTTGTTGTCTATTATGATATTATTACACACAACTTATTGAATTATATATATATATAACTTATATATTGTGTGCATTTACTCTACTTAAACTCTCTCTCTCTCTCTCTCTCTCTCTCTCTCTCTCTCTCTCTCTCTCTCTCTCCTACATACACACACACACTCATCACAAGAAAAATCAAAACCATTTTTTTATATTATTTATTGCAATGATACGACTTATATATATGACTTTATGTGTAGTCTCTCTCTCTCTCTCTCTCTCTCTCTCTCTCTCTCTTTGATATTTGTCATCAATTGTAACAAATATTTTATTGACAACATTAGTCACTTTGTAAGTGAGTGAGTGAGTGAAAGATAGAGATTTACTACCAGTAGTAGTAGTAGTAGTAGTAGTAGTAGTAGTAGTAGTAGTAGTAGTAGTAGTAGTAGTAGTAGTAGTAGTAGTAGTAGTAGTAGTAGTAGTAGTAGTAGTAGTAGTAGTGGTAGTAGTAGTAGTAATAGTACTCATCAAACATATAGTTTGTTACGAGTCCTTCAACAACAAAAAACATGATTCAATCATTATATTATTGACTTTCTCTCTCTCTCTCTCTCTCTCTCTCTCTCTCTCTCTCTCTCTCTCTCTCTCTTTCACACACACACACACACACACACACTGACTGTCTCTTTATACTAAACAATAGCATTGAATACACTGTATTTGTCGGCAAATAGCTAAATATGATATATATATATATATCTTATTTTGTTTTTATTTATTTTTTTCTACTCAGAGCTGCAATGATTTACTTATACAGTATGTCTATTAATGAATCAATATATTATATATTTAACTTAATATTATCTAAAAAATTTTAGTTTGTTTTTATTATTAGTATTAGTATTAGTATTATTATTACAAAACACATAATAAAACTTTTTTAAACAATATATATAAAAAAATAATAAATTGGATTTACTTAAATTTTGTTAATAATATATATATATATATATATATATATATTATTTATATCTACACATTATACCAACAATAATAACAAAATTGATAATATTATAATAATAAGTCAATTTAATAGAATTGAATAATTTTATTTAATATAATAGATAAATAAAATTTACAAATTATATATATATATATATTGAAAAGTATATTATTGTATAATACAATATACGATATATACTATAAATATTGTATATCATTAAATTAACGTTTAATGGCTTTTATTTATTTATTTTTATATAAATTATATAATATACTGTACATTATATAATGTATATTATATGTTAAATCTAATATTATATTATTGAGTATACTGTATAAAATATAATTTATATATATATAAAGTAAATTACAATATAAAATTAGTACAAATTTTAGTTTTCATTAATCTCTCTCTAGCTTTAAATAATATCATTAATATAATTATACATTTTTTAGTCCTAATTATTAACCTATTGATATTATAAAAGCAAATTTATGTTTTAATTTTTGTTTTGTTGTTTTTTATATTGTATTTATTGATTGAAGTCTCAATGCTAACCATTTAATAGGTTTTTTCAGTCTATATTTATAAATATATTGATATATTATATTTAACTCTATGACATACATGTGATTTTATTATATTTTAGTCGTAAATATCGTTTTTTAAATATTATTTGACACACATATAGAATTGGACAGTTAGTTGTATGTCTATAATATTGTTAGATACAAAAATATAATAATTTATATATTATATAATATTATATATATAATTGTCCAAAAAAAACATTATTAACCCATAGATTATTATAGTATCATATTATTATATAAGTTATATATATATATTATATCATAATGACAACAACAAAAATCTAATATAATGTTTGCTTAAATATTTGTATCATTAGATTTTCTACTATATATATATAATATTATATGTGTGTATGTATTTGCACAGTATTGTATATTGTTTTTTTGTTGTATATTATCTATTTTTTATAGTATCTATTAAGAGACAATAGTGTACCGTATGTTTTGTTGTATCAATTAAGACACTCATTGTTTTATTTTTTAGCTACTGTTTCAATATAATCTAAATACACGACACAATAGTGTGTCTGTCATCGACAACAACAACGAGAATCACCAGAATATTCTGTATATACACACAGTCATAGACACACACACACTATACTACCCAATAGTTTGACTATATTTTTGTTTGTTTCACTGATTAAACAGTCATTTTTTTGTTGGTCGTCATCGGGTTTTTTTAGTATTATTATTATTGTGTGGTTTTTTCTTTAAATACTATCCAAGATATCTGATTAACGCATCAAATGGATACACAGTCAACAACATTGCCAACAACAACAACAACATCATCAACAACAACAACTATAAGCCATAATACTAATAGCACAACAACAAGCAATAATGATGATCCCATTAATAGATGGCTCAAACAGGGAGAGTTAGCTAAACTAGAACAGGCAGTATTGGATGGTTATGGCCATCAGCTAACTGGCCGTACATCACGTCTACCACAAGTCAACCGATTTTTGAAACAGGTGCCAGATTTTCAGGTAAAAAAATATGAGAGAGATAATTTATGTGAATAAATAAATAATTAGTTAAATAATTTTACAAACCAAACAAAAATATTATTTTTAAAAATAAATAAATAAGAAAATAATTTCCACTTAATGGGAGATTGTCTATACATTTTTTTATAAAAAATATAGGAAACTCCATATCCATTAACTATAGTATAGTTACTATACCCAAACCCTACACCCCAACATACCAACAGTTTATTATTTATAAACTAAACCATCAAATTAACCATTGATTTAACTGTATTTTTATTTAATATATAATCGTTTTTTTTGTTGTTGTTGTTGGTATACTGTAATATTATTAGTACAGATATCAAACAATTTATAATATACTGTATATTATATATATAACGTATAAACTCGCATATATATAGAGGTATTTTTTTTGTTAGTTTGCAATACATTGTAGTAATACTTGAACCAAAAAAAAAAATCTAGTTTTAATTTTTTAGTTTAGATTTACCGGTAATTTTGTTGTTTATATATAATACAGATATAGATATATTAAATATGAAATACAATCTTTTTTATTAAAAAAATATTATTACTAATTAATTAGTGTGTCTTAATTGATGACATAAAAAATAACACATTTATTATTATTAATATTTTTTTTTTAAAAAAGGCAAAAATTCAAGAAATTCATCGATCAGTACAATCAGGCAATTATCGTAGTGTTCAGCATCTGATTGATCGCAAACGGTATGCCTTTTGCAGGGATCAGATGGGATCGACACCATTGCATAAGGCAGTCATCTATGGCCACAATCTTATTGTCGATTATCTATTAGACAGATACGGGTCGACAATACACGCCAGAGATCATGTAAGACATATATTAATAATTATTTATATATTTTTTTATATATTAAGTATAAATAATTATAAATAATATATATATATATTTATATTTAAGTAGATATTTAATAATAATTACTAAAATAATTAATTAATGATTTGTTTTATTTATATATTTTTTCTAGTAATTACACTTATATTATATTTATTAATAAAAAAATAAGATATATTTACTAAAATTATTTGATAACTTATTAACTAATAAACTAATTGATATAAATATAATTTATTTAACATATAATAATATAAATAATAAAATATTTTTTTTAAATTTAATATAATTATGTTAAGTTCTGATTATTTATTATATTGTATGTCTAATATAATTTAAAATTATTATTATTATTATAATAATATTTTTGAGTCTGAAGTTTTTAAATCTAATTTATTATTTTATTTAATTAAATATTCAAATTTATGCCAAACAAACTTTTATTAATAAAAATGCAAATTATTTGATACAACTAATTTTAAATAAAATAAATTTGTTTTTCTAATATATTAATTATTATTAAAATATATAATTTATTGTATATACATATATATATATATATTAAATTAATTGTTTTTTAATAATAAATATTGTGTGTGTTTGTGACTTATGTTTATTGTAATTATTATTAATTTATTAATTATTATACATTTAAAACAATATAATAATAATAATAAGTGTCTATTATAATTATTTTTGTAATTATCTTAGTAACCATATTAGTATTTGTAAAATATTTTTTTATGAAAATATTAATACAATTAACTATTTATTATTATTATTATTAAGTAATTAAATATTTAGGTAATTTTAAAAACTAAATATTGTTAATTAAATAATTAGTTTGATAATCATTAATACCAAAAGTCAAATAATATTAAATAATAATTAAATATGTTTTTAATATTATTTTAATATAAAGTATATCATACTATATATATACTGTATATTCGCCATGAATTTAATTGTTTATCAAATAATATAATAATAATTAATAAAATAATTTATGATCAACGATAACAATAATATATTATTCAACTTTTTTATATATATGATTTTTATTATTTAATATTAATTACTTTTAAGTTACAATTATAATTTATTAAGTGTTTATTGATTTCATTAAATAATAATTGAGAAATTTTTATATTAATGCATTAAATTTCACTTTAATATCAAAATTATTATATAAAATAGTCTATAAATATTAATAATAATAATATTATTATTGTATGTATAAGTATTACTTAAATTAGTTCAAATTGTCACAAAAACATATTGATTATCAATATTAATTATTTAAAAATTTTTATTTTATTAAATTAATAGCTAAACTTTGAGTAGGACTTAAATACATCTATTTACTCCCACACACACACACACATACACATATATACATACATACATACATACACATACAGTACACACATACATACATTAAAATTCAATTTACAAATTTTTTAACAAAACAATTTCGTAAATTAAATTTGATTATTATTATTATTATTATTATTATTATTATTACTAGTCGTAGTATTATTATTTAAAAAATATTTATTTATTAAAATTCAAGTATGCCAGTAATTTTAATTTTATTATATATATATATATATAATAAAATTAAAATGTGTATGTATATATATATTTGTTGGTTAAAATGTGTAAAATAATTATTATTTAAAAAATACTTAAAATAATATTTAAAACTTTTGACATTATAAGAGAGTGTAAATATTTATTGTATAAAAATACTAAATATTGTTTGTAATAACAATCTATAAATAAATACTAGTATATTATGTAAACGATTATTAAATAAATATAATTAAAAATAAGTTGAGAATAAACAGAGATTAATAGAAATATTATTTAAAAATAATACAATCATTTATTATAATTATATATCATTATTACAGTATTATAAATCATCTAAACTAAACCAAAAATCAATTAATATTATATATATAATAATAATAAATAAACAAAAATAATATATTATTAATTTTTCAATTTAAGCACAATAACAACAACAAAATAATTGAGTTTAAATAAATCATTCAAAATATATAAATTACTATCAATTTGTACCGTATATCATATATATTTATAATATATATTTACAGTATTTATAATATATATTAAGCTAAAAGTTATTTTTTATTTTATACACTGTATATACTGTACTGTATATTAGTAATAATAATATAAGCTAAATAAATAAATAAAATAAAATAAATTGGTAATTTATTTGCAAAATTATCAACATCAATCATTGAATTTCATTTATTGTTAATATTATTTACTAAAGAAATACTAAATAATAATAATAAAATTGTTTTTATTTTTTTTATAATACTGGCTTTTTTGTTTGACATATATAATATATTTAGTTGTTTTTACCTATATTTGAGTTATACATATACAACAACAACAACAACAAAAATAAAGTAATTTATAAATAAGATAATAATATTATTTTAGGTAAAAATAAAGTAATATAATAAAATAAAATAAAACTCAATTTATATAATCATTAAATATTAACAAATAATAAATAATCGGAAAATATTTCTTTTACGTTAAAATCAATTACATTGTGTGTGTTTGTGTGTGTGTGGTGGGTGAGTGTGTATGTGTAAGAATATATATATATATATATATATATATATATATATATATATATAAACAATTGATTTTTGTTTAGGAAATATAGCTAAAAAATATTTATTTATTTTTTGCAATTTTTAATTATGTACATTTTTATAGATGAATAAATCGACAAAAAATATATAAAAGTATAATAATAATAATGAAATTATATTGAAAGCAATCATATAATTGGTTGTCATTTGATTTAACACTCAAAAAGCATACTTTATATTACTGTATATTAAATGAGATACGAGTGTAGACTTTATGATTAGACTCACACACACACATAGACACCGGGAATGGCCATGAAATAGGACTGCCCCCTAATAATAAACATTAGGTGCTCCATATATATAAGCTAATATAATATAACCTACATTTACACATAACATTATTATTTCATTTTCGTTAATAATGATATAAATTTATATATAATATATATTCTATATTCTATATATATATTCTATATGTATATATATATTCTATATGTATATATATATTCTGTATATATATTTTATTTGATATACGATCATATAGTGTTATATATTCAATGATATTTTATTATTATTATTATTATTATTATGATAGTGTATATAATATACCTGTATATATATTAATATAATAATATTTTAAAAACAGTAGTCACGCCAAACATACATTAAAACTATAAAAATAAAGTTTAGTATTTTGTTTCATATGATTTCAATACAATTTATTTAATGTTTGGTTCAGTGTCTATATTATTGGTTGAGTGTGTCTGAGATAAAAAAAATCAACAACAAAAATTATTATTATTATTATAATGAAAAATATTTGATATTGATTTTTAAATAATTTATGTAAGAAAATAATAGCTAAATAAATATCTTAAATATATTATATAAAAATTTATTATTATCATATTATAATAAATATTTTTCAATAGTTATATGACTATTATTTATATTGGCATTAATTTATTTTAACTCAAAATTCATATTATTATTATTGAATTAATTGCTTATTATATTAAAGTAGTTTATATACATTTATGAGTTATTATTATTATTAAAACTATTATTTATTTTAATAACAATATGAATAATATATAAAACTATTTTGTTATTTACTTGAATTTCATTGGAAAACACTTTATTATTACTATTAGTCGCAGAATATTCTGTATTATACTATATATATATATATATATATATATATATATATATATATATATATATATATATATATAGAAAGAGTGAATACAATATACATCGATATTATTGTTATTATTAGTATTAGTATTATTATTATAAAGTGTGTGTTTGTTTGGTTTGGTTTGAAATTTATTTTTTTTAAATATTAATATTGTCTTATAATATCAAAGAGAGGCCGAACAGCACTACATTATTCAGCTGTTGTTGCCGACGGCGGACACATTTATAGACAACTATTAGAAGCCGGAGCCGACACTATGGCCACCGATATGGTAGGTCTATCCCCACACCCACATACCCCCTAATAATCTCTAAATATTAATCGTATTTAACTATTTTAATATATACAATATGTTTGCTATAATATATAGTATGTGCTTATAATTTATAATTTTTTATTTTCATTAAATTTATAAATTCAAGTAAATAGTATATTAAAACAGTTTTTTATGTTTTTTAAAAATTTAAAGTGTCATAAAAAAATAATTAATTAATTTTTAACTATCATTAATGTTATGCTATTTTGTTTGTTTGTTAATTTACTGTAAATTTTTTTTAATATATTAAAATATAATTTTTTTCAAAATCCAAAAAACATATAATAAATAGTTTGGCAAAAAACCTGAAGACTATTTAGCTGTAAATCAGTCAGAAATTTCGGCACAAGTACTACGTGAAGGTGCAAACTTTGGACCAAATAGTAGGGCACCGGTAGCTCAACAACGGAGAAGCCGTAGACTCGATAGAAATATTGATCCGTCGTCAATCAAATTTTATACATCACGTAATTATAAATGATTTTTTTGATATTAAAATATTTTATCATATTTTTGTTGTTATCATAACATTAGTGAATTTTTTTATGTTAAATAAATTTTAATAATTTATTTTTTTTAAGTAAATATTTTTCGAAATTTGGTTTTTTACATTATATTTACTAAATTAGTATAATAAGTATAATAATTAATAATATATATATTAATTTTTTTCACGTATCAATTTTTATCTATTATATTAACATATATATTAATAATTTAAATTTTTTTCAAAAAAAATCTAAATTATAATCTAGTTATCTAAAGTAATATTATATTTACTATTTAGTTATTTTAGAAATTTATAAAATTTTTATACTTTATATATCATATAAAAAATTTCATTATATTTTTTTTGTGTGGATATAAATATAATGTAATATACCTTAAACAACAATTTTGTTGACCACACATATATATATAATTAGCATATACTGACTACTACTGAGTATATATAAAAAAATATTAGTATTAATTATTTACAAAAATAAAACATGAAAACTCACTTTTACTACTATTACTACTACTAATTTATTATTAGTAAATTAGTAATTAGATAACTAACCATGAATCAATTTATTATAAATTATTTTCACTAATAATAATACTAATAATCACTAACATTAATATAATATTTTATTTCTACCTATATATATAATACAGTACAGTATATCTATATATAAATATATTCAAGCAAATTTATTTTTTCATTAGACATTCAACAATTAATTATTGATAATAATAATTGCGTTTATTATTTATTATCGATGTTGTTGTTGTTGTATTAACAAAAATAAAACACACATTTTACTATATAATATTAAATTATTTAACACTGTATTAAATATATTGATTTATTTATTTTTTGGGGTTTCTATTATAATTCAATTATATAAGATAAGATTGATTGTATAGAAGTATATATATTGATAATTTATATATATAAATTTAGTATTAAATATAATAATCTTAAAAACTACATAGATAAGCTACTGTACAATATTTTATACATATTTATATATAGAAATAATAGTTTTTTTTAAAAAATAACAATAATAATATACTTAGTATCAATACAATATTTTAAGAATATTATCAGGATCAAATTTAATAACAATATTTATTTTTATTTATTCAATAAAAGTGTTAATATATAGTATAGAATATATATATATATATATATATATATATAACAATAGCATTTACACTTAAGGTGTCATTTATCTTATATTGATTGTCTATTAATATCATAGTATAATAATAGTAAACTTAAATAACTTTTACAACAACAAAAAAACATAATATAAAAAATATTTTCAACAATATCTAAAATAAAATTTTTATAAAAACTAATATTGAACATAAACTATTGTGTATTTATTTTTATTGAAGTTTATTTTGTTTGACTGTGTATTAAATTTTTAGTTTACAATAATAAAAATACTATTTTTTTAGCTATTATTTACAATAACTAGTTATAACACTACTGTATATAAAATTATCCTTTTATAAAATATATTACATAATTAATTATTATTTAATAATTTTTTAAAAATTCAATATAATATACATTTTATATATTATTAACTAAATTTTCTAACTATATAAATCAATAACATTATAAATAATAGTAATTATTATTATTATTATTATAAATAAAATCCATTATTCTTACACATTATGCTTACAATACTTGAAAGAAATTACTGATTCATATGAATAATGTCTATTATATATAATAAATTTCTTTAATATCAATAATAATAATAATAAAAAAATAATATAATTCATGTTTCATATATTATTATATTAGATATTTTTTATATTTATTATAGAGAAAAAAATCACAAAACAAACTACTACTATATTTAATTATAATAAAATATAATTATAATAATAATATTCTGTCTATCATTATATACAGTAAATACTGTATATATATATATGTTATAGTTTTGTTGTACCGGTATATACAGTACATTACATATTATATATACAATATTAACATTTAAATGTTTATTAATAAATACAATTGAAAAAAATGTATTGTATTATTATTATTTTTTAATTTTCTATACAGTATATACAACTTGTATTTATATTATATAAAACGTTTCACGCATTTTTCAAATGAAATATATTCACATTATATTTGCATATATTCTGTATATATATATATATATATATATATATATATAGTATATATAGTATATATAGTATATATAGTATATATGTATATAATATGTATATATATATCTAATGTAAGAATAATATTCTGGCGATTCCTATGCCAACAGACATGCAGTTTGTTTTTTGTGTGTAAACACACACACGATATATATATATATATACAGTATTTGTTTGGTTTGCTATGAAATAGTCTACAATAGTCTATAACCTATTGTTTAGATACTTTCTATGACACTATGATATGATGATAGCTAGACATACCTTAAAGTATACAACAATAACAACATAAATATGAAAAAAATGTTTTTGTTATTTTAGTATTTTGTAAATACAATATATCAGTTTTTTCCCGATATTTTTTTGCAACAACAAAAAATAGTAGTATATATTTGTAGACTGATTTGTTTGCTTACCACTCTCTCTCATACATACCGGTTCTCTCTATACATACATACAGGTTCACTAATGCATAGGAGTAACATAAAAGAGCTGATAAGACAGGGCAATCTGTCGACACTGGAGGAAGTGGTACTCCAAGGGTTCGGCGACCGGCTATTGGGCGAGACGTCTACAGCACCGTTAGTTCAAGAGTTTCTCGATAAGCTACCGGATTTTATTGTATGTAGTTTTTTTAATATTTATTTTTGTTGTATATATACTGTATATAACTTATATTTATATACAGTAACAAACA